TTTTTCATTTCTTTAAAAAAAGAAATGTCCATTTATATTTACCATTTATATTTAAGTGCCTATACATGTTTACTGCTTCCTCTGTTTTCCTTTCCTTCTTGGATCTCACACTTTCTACTTTCCTCCTGGATTGCAGTACCTTCGTTAGCACTGACTTTCTAATGGGCTGCTTAAATTCTCTTAGTTTTCATTTGTCTGAAAAACGATAAAAATTTTTCCTTTGTTTTTGAAGACGTTCTTGCTGGGGGTTATTATTTTATTTTGGCAGAACTTCAAAGATGCAATTCTGCTGTCCTCTGGCTTCCATTGCTTCTCTCTGGGTTTCTGTTCTCCCTTTAGTTTTGGCCTATGAATTCCCCACCACCTTCTCCACGCTTTCATGTATTTAGGAAGGTTTTAAGTTATTTTATCTAGCATTTTTAATTGCTTTCAGTGGGGGAATTGGCACAAATAACTTAGCACATAGTTGCCAGAAAGTAGAAGTCAGTATTGTTTTTATTTTGAATTAGATATGGAAATGGGAGCTGATTCTTTCAGTGCCTAAGACCCTTTAAAGTTGTAATATCACCAGCCGTGTCATTGCTGAGTTAGTTGTAGGTTGTTAACCAGAATGTTGATGAATAAAGGGGAGGCTCCTGGATCTATTATCTTGCTTACCTTTCTTGAGCAAATTTCCTAATAAAATTCCATAGCTTTTTTTGGTAAATGGCACATAGTACTTAAAAATCTGTCAAGGGATATCGTATCTGAGTTGCATGCTTAATGTCTTTTTAGTGGAAAAAGAAATGTTGGATTCACCTTGATCACTATGGAGTATTGTATCAGTTAAAAAGTTCTTAAAAAGTATGACCTTATGAAGGGATATGTGTATTTTTTCACTTATGGAAGACTAGGTCTTTCTTCAGTACGTTCTGAACACTGTTTCTCTAAACAATCAGAAAACCATTCAGGAGCTCAAAGCTCTGTAAACCTAGTTCAAGTACAGGGTACGTTGTTTGACCTTGGGAGCTATTTAATTATTCTAGGCTTAACTCCAAAGTAGTGTGGCTGGTGTACACAACTTTGTGAAAGTGTCACCAACTGTGTGACATTTCAGTGAGAGATATGAACCTTTGCCTTTGTCAGGAGCAGCGCATATATGAGTAAATAACAGAAATTTGCACACCTTTTCACAGGCCTTCTGAAAGTCACGCCTAAAGTCATCAGCAAGCTAGGGGTCGCCACCCAAGAGAAGGGTTTGTTCAGAGCATTCTTTTAGGGAAATAGTCTACTAATTTGGGCAAGGTCAAAGTTTCAGTTTCTGTCCAGCTCCCCCCAACCCTCACCACCATGATTATGGATTATCATTGCCTACCTATTTTTTGATCATATGGTAAAACTCGTGATATGTTCTAGATTATGGAAAATTCACAGTCATTGCAAGGAAAGGAACTCAGGATGATTTATTTAGTGATGGGGAGTGAATGTCACTGGTTTTATGTATGAGGGGAAATATGATATTGGAATTCTAACCAAATATTCTTTCTTTTTTTTAATTGAAGCTGTTTCCTCTGCCTCTCCTCTACGTTGGAAACCACATAAGTGGATTATCAAGCACAAGTAAATTAAGGTAGAGTGCAGGGTGATGGTTGATCAGACATTCTTACTTGTTTGCTTTTAGTGTCACAAAGACCAAGTTTGATTTTTCCGGATTGCTTGGGCTGCACATAGAAGACAATAATATTTCATAACTTAAGAAAATAAGGTGGAGTTTTGAATTTAATCTGATAATGCTTTAGAAGTCTTAAAAAGCTGATTTTTTACTTCATGTTTAAGCCTGAAGATAGAATGTGAGATTTGTAGAAATCAAGATAGAGACGGTATGGTTTATCCAGAAAGATTCATTTATATGAATATGGTTCTGTATAACTTTTGGTTTCATCACAGTCTTATAAAAGCAGGAATATGCTATCAGATTTGGTACCGGGAAAAACAAACACATTTTTTTCAAGTGTGTGCTGTATACTTCTGAAATTGGCATTTGCATTTATTTTATGGTCCTTGGACAGCCTTTGTTAAAAGTTACTGTAAAATGAAAATGGAAATGTACAAAGACCAAACCATCCTATAAATTGGAAAACATGATGTGAAATATGTACCCTAATGAACACATATTAGGGTCATCAACTGTATGATGAAGACGTGAATAATGAGAAAATGAGGTTTGTGCAAAGGGTAACAGAAGTGGAGGAAAACCTGTTTGCACAGGAGAGTAAAGAAGAGGCAGGTGGGCGGTAGACCAGAAGGAGAAAGGACATGTGACACCGAC